ATTTCATTTTTTTATTATTATTTTTTACACTTTATACCTCTATCACCGCAGTCACAATGCTATTGTCATGCCCACCATCTACCCAAACTTGTGTCAAGAGAAGTAAAGCAATGGCGAGCGAGAGGGTGTGAGTGAAATTCCTAGGAGCCTATGAGTACATCAGCAACCCTCGAGTGGAAACATGTCCTCCTCCGAGCCATAACAACTGCAGGACACAACCCCTTTTGATTCCACCAGAGCCTCGGTCGACCTAATTCGCGCCAGCAAATCAAGGCAATGCGTCCATCTCTACACTGCTCCGCGATCTTCCTCATTACGCAAAAGGCTTAGGTCCGGAAACAATGACGTTGAAATGGGAGGGACGGGAGAAATAGACGGTCTGGACAAAACCACAACAGTGGCAACTGGATGGTTGACAGATGGAACTTAACAGAGAGCTCACCGAACTTTCTGGAATTGAGCCTTTGACGGGCTTTCAGATTTGCTGCATCGCAGATCGTGAGCTCCATGGTTAGATGGTCAGTTCAGCTTGAAACAGGACTCGAGCTGGGTTTGGGACAGGTCAGCTCTTCGCTGAGCATTGGAGCCATGGCTGGGTCGCAATTGTCTTGACATCCAAACTTGCCGCCTCTTTCCCTCTCAACGACGGACAACCGACGGAGAAGCCGATAGTGTGATTAATATCGAGCGCAGGCCGGGACTATCGGAGTCACCTGTGGTAGGATTCCCAGCAAACCAGAGCAGTTCAAGAAGCGAGTTTGGTGTGGTCGTGCAGCTTGGGAAGCGTTGTGAACGCAAAACGAGTGGACAAAGACAACAAGCCTCTTGAGGGCAAACTCGTACTGGCGGAAACACAGCAGGTTTCTAAGGCCCTCAAAGGAACCAGCAGTGCGAGGGGGTTGCAGGCTCGCAGCCCTTGCTTCCGGGCCGTCGTCCAGGGCATCGACAAGGAGAAGAGAGTTGCGTATGCAAGTAGCCTTATCGCAGTCTGATCCAGCTGCCTTGTCCAACCGCCAGAGTGAGGTTCACACCAAATTTCTTTGCGCACACCGTACAAACGCCCAGCTTCTGGCTTAGAGGAGATCTCGGATTGTCGGAGTTGTTATCTTATCCAGCAAGCCCGAAAGCTTTCGAGAGCCTTCAGCGTACATCCCATCCAGAGTTGCAGCCGCTCGGGAGGCTCGCGGCATGCAACCCACGCCTAGCGGCCGCCGCAGAGGGAATCTGTCTTCCATTTGATAGGTCATTCGTCCCACTTGCACGGGTCCTGAATTATTTGGTATTCGTGCTGGGCCATGTGGCTAAGTACCCATGTTTCGTCTATTTCCGGCCCCAGCCTGCTTAACGCTGGCTCTGGTTCCCAGATCGAATGAAACGGAAACGCCAGCTTAAATGCCTACCAAGAGAAGCTCCCAGATACCAGTAGGGTCAAGGTTGCGGGCCTACCCTCGCTTCAGCCTTTGCAGACACAGGGGCCATCTCTGAGACATTCTGAGCCGTGTTTGGCTGCGCTTGGCTCTCCCAAGGCCACCACATCCAGCAGATTGCGACGACAGCCTGGCTAGGCATGGCTAGGCATGGGTCGCAGCGTAGTCCTGGCGCATACCACTCGCTTGAGGAAAACGTCCAAGGGAACTTGTGTACCTAACATTTCAGCTACATACTCTGAAAATCCCCCGATTTCTTCACCACGAGTCTCGTCCTCTATCGACGGATATGTTTAAGTAATGTGGTAAATCCACCCACAGTGCAGGGTGCTTGCCACAGAGCCTTGTGCCCTTCATTGAACCGAGACGCTCCCACGCGCTGGAATTGAGAATCATGGCGTCAAAACAACCGGAGGACAGTACATATGAACTACTGCGCTATGGAGAGACTTCCGGGGTGAGTAGATGCCTACCATCGATGCTGTCTGACCATGACGAGCCACTATCTAAAGTGTTTTGCCAACAGGTACCAACACCCGAGGAGCCTGAGCAAGGTATACGAAGCTTCATATGGCACAGCCCTTCGATTACAATTGTCTTCGGTATAGGAACGGCCTTTGCTGTGGGATGCGTTGTCTTCACCCAATGGTTGGGTACGCAGAAGTTTGTCTGCCCAGACTGGGCACTCGATTGCTCAGTGTCCGAGTTCCTTGCCGACGTCGTGGCCCACCTAGGCCAGGTGCAGGGTATCATCACCGCCGTCTATAGCGCATCGGTAGCCATGATGGCGTACGCGACATTCCAGGTTGCTGAGACGACACTCTGGCCGGCTCTGACGATGAGAACGTTCTCACTGGGCGACATGGACCACTATCTAGCCTTGACTCGGGGATCACTGGCAGCGTCGCCAAGGGCCCTGTGGCAAGCTCGAGGTCTCGGTCCAGTGGCTGTTCTTCTCATCGCTACAGTCATTGCGATCCTCCAATTGACCAGCTCCATCTTTGTCGGGCACGTATACTCGGTCACGAATGTTACCACGACTTACTTCAGCAACCACTCGGATGGCGGTGGCATGGGTCTTTCCTTCGACGGCTTCCAGATGAACCCTCCTGGCATGCTCCCCGGCGCAGCTGGAGATGCGGTTTCGATCTATACGTCGTGGGCCAACGGCCTGAGCAGCGAACCCATGCCGGAACAGCGCAACTTCATCATTGACCGTGCCAATCTCTCAGCTGTGGGAGCATTTTCAGCACACGCCATCGAGAAACACACCACTATCTCATGCTCAGCCACGCCCATCAACATCACCTCGGAGTACGCGGACATGTTCACTGTCCAGGTTAACATGTCGGCCACTGATCTTTGGATTCGCCAACAGCCACTGCTCTCACTGTGGGTGGATCGGTGGAAGAATCTCAGCGACGCAAGGGCAGTCACGACGATGATGTTCGCTGCCATCAACGGCACGATTGAGGGTGGTCACAGGAACGGGCCAAGCGAAGTCATGCTGGAACTGGGTTACACCGAGGGTGTTTCTTCACTGGCATGCGATATTGACGTGGAGCTCAAGGACAGCGTCGTCTGCACCATGAAGGACCCGTCCAAGTGCCCGCCCCCAAGCATGACTCTCTCAAAGCTAGAATCCCTCGGCCAGCCATGCAGTGGCTGCATCCCCGTCTGGCTCGCCGCCGCCGTAGAAGTGTATGGTGTGAGTATCTATGGGACACAGCCCATGTTCTACCCGACCGTTGCGAACCCAGGCGTCCTGGCACCCACCCAGCTCGGCAACCTCTCGGCCGCCTTGCCTGTTGCCTGGACCAGCGTTTCCACGGCTCCCACGTCGTACACGTGGCCGCAGGACATTCTGCGCAATTTTATCGAGGTCGGCTCCGGCGCCCTGGCCATAACCATCATGCGCCATTTCCCCAACGAGAGCGGCATCCTGGAATCCCGACTTCCCATGTTACGCATCGACGCGAGACGGAGCTGGCTCTTGCTGGTCCCACCGGCGCTGATCCTGCTGAGCGTCGTGCTCGTGGCCGCGCTGAGTGGCGTCATGCACTCCAAGGCGAATCTCCCCAACGTGCATCGGGGCACCACGAGCGAGATCGTCCTCAACAGCCAGACCGAGGACATCAAGTCCGTCGTCAGCGAGGCGAGGAAGACATCGACCACCCGAGCCACGCTGTCGAGGCTGCGAGTGCGGTACGGCGTGGTTGCTGGTGGAGGTGCCGGGCTAGCACGTGAAGGTGGCGTAAGTGCTTTTGACAAGAGGCTGAGCTCGACCGCGGGTTTCTACGGTTCATAGCTCGTGTACGTATAATGTACTAAAAGGGGGCGTTGACCATCTATCCATCCATGCTCCTTGTACTGCAGGTACAATCTTTATCCCCTAATTGAGCTAGGGTAGTTGATTATATCAAGATCTAATGAGAACTCCTACATGTATCGAGGGAGACGGAAAAGACATACCAATGGGAATGATACACGAAATTCATGTCCACTTGGGCCCTATCATGTTTTGTTCTATCTGTCTATCTACTCATTCTTCATGGTCCTCTCGAGTCGAATCAAATACAACATGGCAGTTGGGATTCGATTGACCTTTCGCAGTCACTACAACACAGAATAGCTCGGCTCCCATCTCCTATTCCACCGAGTCTACGTGTGCTTATTCGACGACAGCTCACCACCTTCCCCCTCAAAATAGTATTAATAAAACAATACAATTGCCCATCCCTATAGGCGAAGCCTCACCTTGTGCTGCCGAGTCTTTCCACAGACGCAATATACATACATAAATGTATTTATGCATGTATTTGCGTACAACGGGGAGTGATATTGATTGCCCTCGAGGAAAGAACCTCCCCAAAGCACACATGCCCGAGGACGCAGGTCTGACATGGTCGCTTATCGAGCACATCGGCGAAGCAAGCAATGGCAATGGAATTGGCATAACGAGTGTCTATCAGGATGGCTGGGTTGATTGAGTGGGGGGACTGGGATCGAAAAAGGAGTGAGGTCCTGGCGTGTCTTTTGTTGGGAGATGGAAGAGGAGCGCTGGGAAGGAAGAGGGGTCACACGGATCTTCGTCCGAACTCGATTTTGGAGGTCAATGGGCTCGCTCGGTCGACTCGACGACTCGTCCACTCCACATGCCCGGCTTTCGACTACTTTGAGAGCTCTCTCTATCTCGGGTTATCAAAAAGCCCCGGTCGAGCAGAAAGTCTCGGGTAGTCTGGGTTGACAGAGTCGTCTTCTTGATAGGGGCAAGCATCGACAGTGTTCATGATTGCAAAAAACAATTATAAAGTACCAAGTCGAAAGGTATAAACACATACTAAACCCTCGGAGAGGCACCAGGCACTCAAAAGGGCACAGCTGATGAAGGTGGAGAGGATCAACTTTTCATTTGCCTGCTACATATGTTTGCACTGTATCTGCCCGTGGCAATGAAGCTTCTTGTGGACATGATCTGCTCATGCTTGTTTGAATTGGACTCTTGACACTTTTGCCTCCTGCAAAGTCAACTCTGGGGGAGATTTTGCTCTTTTAAGGCCACCGTTGTAGTATCTAGGGAGCACCGCAGTCGACGATGGTAGGCTTCACCTCATGCTTAACCTGGCCAGACCCAGAACCGGTTCCCTCGAGTTTCCGAACAATTTCCATGCTCGAATCATCGGCGACCTCACCAAAGACGACGTGCTTGCCATCCAGCCACGAGGTGACAACGGTGGTGATGAAGAATTGGGAGCCGTTGCTGTGAGAAACCAGCCATGTCAGTATCGTGTTTCAGCAGGAGAAGAAAAAGAAAGATCAATGGGCAACAAGCTTCCTTACGTGTTAGGACCAGCATTGGCCATGGACAAGATTCCTGGCTTGTTGTGGATCCTCTTGAAGTTCTCATCGGCAAACTTCTCACCGTAGATGGACTTGCCGCCGGTGCCCTAGTAACGTGTGTCAGTCACATGTCTGCCGGTCGTCCGTCTTTTTTCCAATTTTTTTCCAATAGGGAGCCACTGACGTTGCTCGAGTGAAATCACCTCCTTGCAACATGAACTGAGGGATGATTCGGTGGAAGGAGCTGCCTTTGTAGCCAAAGCCCTTCTCGCCGGTGCAGAGGGCACGGAAGTTCTCGGCAGTCTTGGGGACTACATCGTCGTAGAGGTTGAAGTTGATCCTACCGCGGTGAGCTGTATGGTGAGAGCAAGTGGTTAGCCGACGAGCCAGTTCAGCAAGCACGTAACGAAACAGGAGTCCAAGGTGATGATGACGACCAAGGAGATGGCTGGCATAGAGAAGCAAGAAGGGATCAAAGGACAATGTCACTTACGAGGAGGGGGAGTTTTTCCAGCGCGTTTGGCATCAGCTCTAGCTTTGTCGAGGTCCGCGTCGGACCATTCGACCTCAAACCAAGCAGTCTTGACCATGGCTGCAGAAGATGAGGAAAAGAGTCTTGCAAAAGAGGCTGGTGAGGATGGAATGGAATGAGAGAGATGCCGTTGAAGACGAAGGGAAGACGAGGATGGCGGGGTTAATAAAGTGTGGTGAAATTTGAAGGAACTGACAGCATGGCGGGGGAGCGACATGGCTGTTTTTTCAATGAGGGGTGATCTGCGCCTGCGTGGTGCGTGCTGCGGTTGGTGCCAGTGACTGCCAGTGGTGGCCGCCTTGAGAGGGTAGCCGGAAGGTGGGAGGCGTTTCTAGGTTGAAAGGGGGCCTGCCTTCTCGGTTATGCGGTGGGAGTGGCAGTGGCAGTGGCGGTCGCTCGTGTCAACGCAATGCACAATGGTGGATGACGATGGTGGTTGGGTGGTGATGGTGGGAGCTGCACGTGATCGCGATCGTGGCGAATGCGAGAAAAAAAAAAACTGCGCAGAAAGAATCAGTCAGCCCACCCACGCCCACTTCACATGTCTAAACAAGACGTCTTCATCTCCATCAGAGTTTTGACGCGTATCAGACACTCACCAGCTGCCAGCTGACTTCCTCTGTCTTCTCTGGTCACAAAGAGATGTGTTGTGAAACAGAGACAGAAACAATGCTCAGACAAGAGACGAAGTTATCTGCCAGCTGTCCTATACCAGTGACCAGCTTCCACAAGAGCTCGGAGTGTCAGGCCTGGTCAATTGCCAATGTGCCTGACTGAGGGAAGCGAACGTCAGCGAAAAATACTATCCTGCCGGGCGGTGCCGAAATATTGATACACAAAGTATTGTACAATAAAATCCCGAGAAGACGAGCGCGCAAGTCCAGTTGGAGATCGAGCTGAGAGCTTGCTGATGAGAAGACAGCAGCAGCTGAAATACCCCTTGACTACTCCCTACTGGGTGCTTAGGTGGCCTTGCTGGGTACCCACTGGCTGGCAAATTTATGCTCGCCTCCAGCCAATCAACACTGCTGACCAAATAAAAGACACAAAGGGGTCTTGTACAGTAGACTGTCTTGGGATGTTGTGGTTCAGACAATGCATTTCAATGGCATGACTGTCTATCTGGCTGGGTGTCTGGTGATACATCAATATGTGTCACTCGCAGGCTGACATGTGCAGGCTGCTTTTTCCTCGTCGCCATTACACACATGAGTGCTTAGCTAAAATCATCATCGCCGCTTTTCACTGGCCCAGCTTCCATGGCCATTACTCTAGATACCAGTTCCTTGGTCTCACGTGCGATCTTGAAGGACAGAGGAGGTAGTTGCTGAAGGACTTCCTTGTCTTGGGGAGATTCGTTGCCTGCTTGTAACATTTGCTCTCGGCATTCTCGCAGAATGTCAACAATCGGGCCTGATTTCTCTCTCAAAGTTGCTTGGTATGAAGAAGGCTCGTTCCCAGTCCTGTCCACCGAGTTCACGATGTTTTCAATCGTGTTAGAGATTGTGGTCATATGGTTTTGGATCGTGGTCATGGCATCGTCCTTCCGGATGGTATCGACCAATGAGGTGATAGATTGAACCAATCCATCAGTCTGATCTTCGAGGTACATCTGAGCATTCTGGGTCAGCATTGTAAATTGCTACTGGCTATCCTTCCACTTACCTTGAGATCCTCCAGATCAGCCTCCTCTTGAGTGGTCGCATACTCCGCTTTGATCCCCAATCCTGTGCCATTCATTAAAGTCGATATACTGCGTGGAAGGAGACCTGACCCGGCTCGATTGGACACATTCCTCGTCGCCGATGGCGTACTGAGAGCGCTATAGATGCTTTCGACCTCGCTCCGCCTTCTTAAGGTCTCGGCAACGTTGAAGTAACCGTTGCTTTGCAGCGGTTCCAACGTCGGTTCATCGTCGTCTTCCAGTTCCCCTGCCGGGGTTGGCCGAATCTTGACGGTGTGAAGGAGATCAACAACAGCTGCCGTCAAATGTGAAGCCGCGGCGTCGAGAAGACTCAGAGGGGAGAGACCACTCGCGGAAGCAAAATTCTTTGAAGCTGTGATTAAATTGTTCGCTGTAGCCGAGACCTTGGTCTTGAGCTTGAGTCGTCGCTTGGCCATTTCCTCATCCTTTTCTGTTGATAATCCGGCGTCGATGTCTGATGTGATCCCACGCACTGCTAACACCACCGTTTTCATATGGTCGAGCACAGCTGTTGGTCTATCAGATCTGGCAATTTGAAGCAGCTCATCAATTGCGATCTGGAACTTGGTGACGTGGACGTCCTTGACCAGTCCGTCCCGATCCTGAAGAGCCATTGCATGCTGACTTGCATCGGGTCGGGCGATGCTGAGCCCTAGCGAGCTAGTGCGGACACTTCGAAGTTGTGCTTTGGCCTTCACGTACCGGGCTTTCCAACTCTTGACTTCCTCTTCGAGCTTCTGGACATCGATCTGCAGCTTCTCTTCTCGTTCCAAATTGCCTCCGCCAGAGTCCGCCATGGCTCTCATTTCTTCAAGGTACGCCTGGCCCTGTCTGCTGACTTCCTCTGTCAACTGCTGTTGTTGCGCCAGCTGCTCCCGCAGGATCCCATGATCGTGATCCAATTTAAGGAATTTGGTCTTCCAAAGCACGTTGTCACCGCTGTAGTGTGGTGTTTCTGCCCTAAGCTTCTCAATCTCCTCCTTGAGCGACTTGTTCAAGTTTTCTGCCTCTTCAAGCTTTTTCTCCAAATCCTGCTTAGTAACAGTCCATTCTTCGTTCTCCCTCTTCAGCTGACGGAGGTCCTTGTCCCTTGATTCAAGGTTTGATTCCAGATCAGAAACCTTCTCTTGTAATTCGGTCAAACTGGGGACGCTAGCTTTGGGATAGTTCATACTGGCAGCACTCTGCGACGTCGCTGATGTATCCCTATCACTCCTTGGACTCGTAAGAGAGCTTTCAAGCCCGAAAGCATCGCTAGATCGATCGTATTTCGATTCCGTGGCCTGAGAATCGTCCTCATCCTCGACCATCATACTTTTATTGGGTGTGATGGTGTTACTCTGAAATTGCTTCGCCATTGGCCGCCCATAGTCACCGGGCGGGGGAGGATTATCGAACTGAGGAAGACTGGACACCGATTCTTGCCTGTGAGGATAGTTTGGTGCGCCATTTGAACCGAACGACTGGGTTCTGGGTGGTGCGCCGAAGCCATTACTTGGGGCAGGCAACCCATCTCTGGAGGAGGCTGCTGGACCTCTGGATTGCGAACGGCCACTGTCTCTCCTTCCGCCGTCCGGTCTCGCAAATTGGGGGAATCTGCGTTCCAATTCGCAAAAGACGTCAGTCGACAGGTCGCGGAACCTGGGGGTTTGCAGCGATGAGAGCTTTTGCCTGGCCTGATTTCTCTTCTCGTGGAAATCAGGTCGTGGTTGGAGGAAAGGCGGAATGTTTTGTTGTCGCGGTGGGCGGCCAGGAAGCGGGGCGGAAGCTTGTCTTCTTTGTAACTCGTCAAAGACATCCGTGCTCAGTTCGTGGAACTGGACGGGCGACAGTCGTAGGAGCTTATCTCGAGCCTTGTTAGGGCGCGGAGGAGCCTGAGAAGCGCCCTTGAGAAAACTTTTCAGAATTGTATAGTGCCGAAACAGCTCTGTTTCCATCCTCCGGTATTTTCTGCTTTGTTCGTCTGAGATGGTGCCATCACTGGAACGGGAATTGGCTATAGATCCGGCGCGTGAGGAGCCTCGGGAGCCTGATTCGGACGGACGGCGTTGTCCCATGGCATCCAACGATGGAGGAGCGAAATTCATGCCCGCATTGGGAGGAGGACGCATCGACGGCTGAGGTTTAGAGGGTGGGTATTCGTCACCCGGAGGCTTCATAGGCACATTCGCGAAGGGGCCGTCATTCCGGGGGAGTTGGTTATAAGTGTTTACACCGGACCACTCGCTCGTCGTGGATACAGGTGAGAGTTCGGGCCCTCGAGAGAGGGGCGGCATTGTGGCTTGCATATTGCGAGTTCATGTACTTGAGTTGTCGGAATGTCAAAGACGATCAGAGGGAGGAGATTTCTATGCGTCTTTGTTCTTTTTGACCAATCCGCGCCAGTTGGACGGGGGCAAGGTATGTGAGGCAGCAAACGTCGGAGGACAGAAGTGAAGTCAGGTGCGGTTGTGCTCTAGCGGGTCAAGGAGTGGACGAGGGCAGACGACCAAGGCGCAGGCGCGACTGAGATTGATGCACTCGGGGATTCCTGCAGACTGCCCAGCAGACGGCCATGTGAGAGTAAGTAGATAAACGAATGTGGTGCGATTATTGAACGAGCGAGACGATAAGAAGAGTATACCGATTTACCTAGTCAAGTCGGGAATGACAAAAAGAGGGAGAGTACAAAGTACAGTAATGTAGTAATTGTGCGCAGGCGTTAAGTGGGTGGTGGAAACATGCAGGTGTAAAGTGCAAGCCATGACCAGGGGGGCAGGGAATGAGAGGCTGTGACTGGAACAATGCCTGCGTTGACTCGTGCCTTGCCATTACTCCATATAATTTATTGGAGAGGCGCCCGTATTGACCCTGCACCTGCCTTGTCCCTCAAATCCCATATCTACTGATGAAAACCAGGTGGTATCACCATTGCCCCTTTTTATTGTCTACCTTCCCAATTGTACCTCTATACATTCCTTGACTTGGCCGTCCACACACCATACTGACTGACATCGCACCCCAATTCATGAGTTGATCTACTCGTATCTTTCATGCAGAACATACTCGTACCTGCACCAGGGTCGTCGCTTGCCAGCCCATTTTCCCAACCCCTTACTCCGTACCTCTGGATCCAATACCACGCATCTCCACTATCCTGGTGCACTAGAAGAATCTCCACCATCCAGAAACTCTAGTCTCCAATGTTTCCTAATTGGTTAATCACCCTTCCCACCCTCCGTCTTCTGGATTTTCGTCAAGGAACCACAACTGCCATTTGGTCCACAGACAACCCGCCTAGGAGCGCCGTCTTGCCGCCTGCACGTCGTGAAGGGCGCCACCAAGCCGTGATCTAAAAGCTTAACAAAGGACTT